AGCAAAAGTAAGAGAGAGAATATATATTGCTGAGAATGTGTTGAGCGTATTGAGGATGAATTACAAATGGGGAAAAGGGGTGCTATTTATAGTAGTAATAAATGCCAGATAGGGACACGTGTCATCATTCTGGTGGTCGATGGGTCACCTCAACGGGGTGGCACTGGCACTCGCATGTGGCCGCATTAAATGCGGTGGTTGGATGTGACGTTTGTACTCGGTATGTTGATCCGGTGCATGTGGGTGGGAGATTCTGTCGAGGAGATGCCTTCGGCCGTAGATGATTAGCCGAAGGCTCTTCATCCCGGGGGCCTCTAGGTGCCGAGGGCTCTAGGTTTCGAGGGCTACTGTTTTTCCGCTTTCTCCCAGACACTTTGAGGGCTTTAAAGAAGCTGTACTGTAAGCTTATGAGCCTTCGGCCAGGGGGCCGAAGGCATCCTAGTGTTCGTCGTGGGCTGCTTGGCACTTGGGGCGCTGTGATTTGGGCCTGTTGTGCTTTCTGGGCCTATTGGGCCTCTACTACAGTAGTGGGAGTCTATGGGTCGGGGGTTCCTGGGCCATATACTCCATCAGGAATCCCTCACTCCTTTTGCCGAAAGGTACTTGAGGGAAAAGGAGTAATTGCGGTTGTCCTCTGATGATGCCTTGCTTGTAGCTTGTAAACCTGTGAGAGATCTGCGTTTGCACATGATTCTGCCGGGGGCAGCCCTTCAGTCCTCCATACCTTGGGACAGAAGGGTTATGTTGCTGCTTTGGGGAGATTTTTGACATTTTGCTTTTTGTGATTTTTCCCGAAGGGGTCCTCCAGTCCCCCACTCCTTAAGGCACATGTAATGTGGTGAAGAGGAGTAGAGTAGTGCCTGCTGTCGCATGGGACCGAAGGTTGACACTTTTCGTTTCATTTTTGGGGGATGCCTCGTTAAAACCCTCATTAGGAAAAACCCTGTGGGAAAAAATCCTACTGAGGGAAAAAGAGTGCACCGAATTCCCCCCAATGATGACTCGAAAAGGTGAAACCTTGGTCTGAGATGAAGGACAAAGTTGATGCCGAAGGCTGCCCTTGATCTGAGGGTGCGTGTTTTGACTTGCCGAAGGCGCTTTGTAAATATTCGGGAGATGCCGAAGGGGAGTCCCTCAATCCATGGGGTTGAGGGCATGATGAATGTAAGTGGTAATGCTGCGTTGTCGGGGGGATTCTCTGGCTGTTTACGAGCTGGGGGTGAGGGTACCCGAAGGCTACCACTGATGAGGGGTTTGGAGGTGTGGCCCCAAGGGTTTCCTGCATTCCAACGCGTTGAGGGTTGGGGGTCCCGAGGGGTTTCCCTTTTTTTGGATAAAGGGTAATTATATATATCAAGAGTTTATGTACACGTAAGGCAAAAAACAAAAATGGGGCTATCCCAACAAGGGATATACCAAACACCTATGGGCTATACAATCAGTCCCAATTTACGCAAAATAAGGCATTCCGCCGCACCATATCAAGTGTCAAAAGGAATAAGCTCATGAGGGTATATCCTATAAAGGATCTTATACACCATGTATTGGATCCTAGAAAAAACTTCTTCCTCATGGGTCTTCTTATCATCGAATCTAATTGCATTTCGGACTCTCCATATCCAGTAGATAGTATAGATGAATGCAATCTTGGCTGCCTTGGCCTTGATCCCTGCACCTGCCTGATCCTTCCTTGTCCAGATGAACGAGCTATCCAATGTAGACATCCTCCTAGCCATTCCAATCCACGCTCTAACTTTGCTCCAAACTGTGCCTGTAAATTGACAACCAAAGAAAAGGTGTGGTACCGTCTCCGGTTCACCCTTGCAAAATGGACAAATGTTAATCACGTCCAACCTACTAAGATTATCATACGTTGCAAGGCGGTTGCGGAAGCCAAGCCAAGCAATGAATGAGAACTTAGGAGGTATATATTTTTTCCAAATGAAGGGCATCCACACCTGTTTGGTGCCCTTGACTCTAAGCAAATCATACACTTTTGAAGAGCACAATTTTCCATTGTTGACAAGTTTAGAGAGGGTAGTAATTGTGCTCTCAACGGAGTCAAATTTTGAGATAAGGATGTCTCGGATCAGTCCCAATTTCTTAGTAAGTTGAGAATCCCTAGTGTGTGGGGAGAATTCCCACACACATCTACCTTTAAGATAGACACCATGCACCCATTTCACCCAAAGAGAATCTCTTGTGAGGTGGATATCCCACAAGGTCTTAGAAAGTAGGGCATTGTTCCAAGTTTTGGTATGTCTTATACCCAAACCCCCCTCCTCCTTCGGAAGACACAAATCTGCCCAAACCACTCTGGCAAATTTGCATCCCCAAAAGAAGATGCGACAGAGTGAAACAACTCTATCAAGGATGGCTTGGGGTATAGGAAACACGTGTAACCAAAAAGAATGTACTCCCTGAATAACAGATTTAATCAATTCAGTTCTACCAACATATGACAATGACCTAACATTCCAAGAATTGAGATAATCAGAGATCTTTTCCAATAGAGGGGCATATTCAGCTACCGCAAGCTTAAGGGGGGAGAGGGGAATGCCTAGGTACTTGACAGGGAAAGCACCAACCTTGAAATCTACCAAATCAAGTATAGGCATTAGGTCTTGGTCTCTAACCCCACCCAAGAAAATATTAGATTTATCAAAATTAACCCTTAACCCAGACACTTCCCCAAAATCATTTAAAGCGTCAATCAAAACTTTAACAGAGTAAGTATCCCCTCTACAAAACAGCATAAGGTCGTCAGCATAGGTAAGATGTGAGATCTTTAAACTACCACATTTTGGATGATAATTGAAATCAGATGTAGTTCTCTCATTTAGCATTCTTGACAAATATTCCAGACATAATACAAATAGGAGGGGGGGACATAGGATCACCCTGTCGAAGTCCCCTCTTCCCCCTAAAGAAACCATGTAATGTTCCATTAATGGAGATAGAGAAAGAAGCAGTAGAAACACACTCCATAATCCAATTAACAAATTGCAAAGGAAACCCAATATTAAGGAGTACATTATAAAGAAAGTCCCAAGAGATGATGTCATAGGCTTTCCTGAGGTCCACCTTAATCATACACCTAGGGGAAAATGCTTCCTAGTGTACCCTTTTACCAATTCTTGTGCCAAGAAAATGTTATCCATCATAAGCCTCCCATCTACAAAGGCCCCCTGGGCATGGTCAATTAACCCCGGTAGACATGGAATCATTCTATTAGCAATGATCTTAGTAATGACCTTGTAGAGAACATTTGTACAAGCAATTGGTCTAAAATCAGCAGCGGTGGGGGAGTGTGATGTTTTAGGAATTAAAGCAATAATCGTGTGATTAATTTGCTTTAATAACCTACCTGACTCAAAGAATCCCCTCACGGCTTCAACAACATCCTCCCCAACAATTGACCAATTCTCTTTAAAAAAAGCAGAAGTAAACCCATCAGGTCCCGGGGCAGAAGTAAACCCATCAGGTCCTAGGGGAAACAAATGAAAAGTACCCGATGTTTGATGGAGCCTCCGGGGGTTTAGGAGGTAGTAGCTGAGGGCATCCAATTTTTAGACTTATGAATATTTTTCTTTGTTAGACGTAGATATTTTTTGCACCTTTGCTCCTTCAGCCTAAACCGTCTTCATTCTTTTGCAGGTATCAACATGGATCTTAACGCCTTCGCCGCTCTCAAAAAGCAGAAAGCCAAAGTCCCGGGCAAAAAGGAGCCCAGTAAGCAGAAGCCCCTCGGGGAATTCTCGAAGAAGGGTGGTGAGCCCTCAGACGAAGCTGTCAAGAGGAAGGCAACAGGCAAAGGTCCAATCCCCGAGGGGAAGAGACAAAAGAAGGGGGATGCTGGGAAGAAGGCTCCCCCGGTGGTGGTCGTGGATGAGCACTCCACCTCTGAGCCCCGTGTTCAAGTGGCGGTGACTGCTTCCAATCTTCCCTAGGCCCAGGGGGGTGAGGTAGGTTTGCCCCGGGAGGACATACGGTTCTTTCTGCCGAAGGGTGCCACTGTCACACATGGCACTGTGGACCCTCGGGAGTTCCTGGGCGGGGCTACTCCTTCGTTGGACAGGAATGCCCTCGGAAAGCTCGACGATGAGGCTCTCGAGTCAAAGATCCTCCGGTCCTCCCACACTCTAAGTTTTTTTTGCATAGTGGTCTACTTCCTCTATCTGTTGCATGATAGTAGACTTACCCCCTTATCTTGTTGTTAACAGGCTTGCATAGCCCTCGGTGAGCATGCCAGGAGGTTCGATGAGTGGCGCCTCCAGAAGGCGCAACAGGATGAGACAATGAAGAAGCTCATCCGTGATAACGCCGAGGCCGTGAGGCAAATGGCCCAGCTGGAAGGGGACCTTCAGCAGGCGAAGGCTGCGGCGGAGAAGGCGGCCAACGAGAAAGCTGAAGCCGAGAGGGCTGCTGCTGAGGCCGCGAAGAAAGCCTCCGAGGATGCAGAGGCCGCCAAAGCAGAGGCCGTCGCCGGTGCTGTTGCTGCTTTTATGGCCGAGGGGTGGAGGGCAGAAGGGAACAAAGATTGGGTGGCTTCGGTCGTGGGGGAATCTGCCGACGGGTGGGTGAAGGGCCCTGGGGCGATGTGATTAGCCCGAAAGGGCGAAGACTACTACGCTGGGGGAATTTTTTACCCAGGCCCTGATCTATAGAAGGCTGGCGCGGCATCTGAAGATTGAACCGAAGGCCTTCAACCTGGCGGCATATGCCCCCCCTCCAACCAGATATCAGAGTCCCCCTCCCTGCAGGTGCTGAAAGGCCAGAATTAGAGGATTCTGAGCTGCTGAAGGAGGCCGGGGAAGAAGAGGAAGGGGCCGAAGGGGACGCCACCTCGAAAGCTGCCGAAGGGGGTGAGACCGCAGCAGCTGATGATGTTGTTGTTTCATAATTTGAAAAACATTTTGTTGTAACGAATATGTACAATTTTTCGGCTTCGTCCTTTGTGTATAACAAGTTTTTATTGACGTTGCGTGGAGGCTCCATGTCGATGATTGCTTGGATTTTCTCGGGATTGGCCTCGATACCCCTTCGGCTCACCATGTAGCCCAAGAATTTGCCTCCTTGCACGCCGAAGGTGCATTTCTTTGGGTCGTCGACATGGCTCGATGATTGTTTGCTTTTGACGATCGTGCCGTCAACATAAGCCTCCATGGTGCGCCCTAGGACGGCCTGGAAGACCCTAGCCACCATCCGGGTGTAAGTGGCGCCCGAATTCTTCAGGTTGAAGGCCATGACTAGGTAGCAGAAGATGCCCTCGAGAGTAATGAAGGCTGTTTTTTCGGCGTCATCCTTGTGCATGAAAATCTGATGATATCCGCGGAAGGCATCGAGGAAAGACATGATTTCACACCCCGTTGTCCCATCTACCAATTGATCAATGTTTGGTTGAGGAAAAGGGTCCATTGGGCATGCCTTTTTCAAATCTGTATAGTCCACGCACATGCGGAAGGTGGGCGGCTTCTGTGCGAGGACCACGTTGGCCAGCCGTGAGGGGTATTTCACCTCCTTGATATGTTTGATGGAGAGGAGCATGGCAACCTCCTTCTTCATGAAGTCCCTTCTCTCGGCCGAGAGGGGCCTTCTTCTCTGTTGTACGGGTTTGGACGAAGGGTCCACCGACAGGCAGTGAGTGATGATGTAACACCCCCAAATTTCCCACCCAAAACGTTGACATAATTGAAATAAAACTTTTATTTATTGATAATGAAAATCTAAAGAAAGTACAGCGGAAGTCTTAGTAAGGGAAATGGGTGTTACCGCCACATCCGGTCATCTCTCAACCGGATGCACAGGCAACTAAAACATAACAACTAATTTAATAAAAATAAAGTGTTTGTAAAGTAAATGTTTATTTCATGACTAGTATAACTAAGGCGACTACTAATTCGCTCTCGGGCCATGCAAGCAATCATCAATCGACAAAATCATCCTCACCTGCACAAATAAAGTGCAGAAACAAAACAAGGAAAAGAAAACAAAAATTAGCTTTAGAGCTAAGTAAGTACTACCCAACCCCGTAAAATAATCATGTTTGACTAAAATAGATCTTTATATAATAGTATATAAAAATACTCACACCATCGAAATTCTTTTCACTTTGATTTTTCTCAAAACTACTTCTTTACAAAAATCCTCAACTTCTCTTTAAAACTTCATAATAACTCTTCTCTTTGATTTCCTCAAAAATCACTTCTTCTCTACCCTCCTAGTAATTTAGAAAGGCGGTGCTCAACCTTTCGATAGAGCCCGGTGGACCGTGGTTACGGACGGCCACCCCGAACAAGTGCCGGTACCACAACTGCTCTGTTGGAAACGAAACGACTACCTTAAGTGTGCACACCCCCTAAAAGGGATTCCAAGCCCTCCGAGTAGTAAGTCGTAACGAGTAGTCGGGACTCAGTCTACCAACTACCCCTGAATAAGATATCTTGAATGATTAGGGACTACTACTACCATAACTTCTTCTTAAAAGGGATCATCGATCCAAATATCACTTTAAACTCAAACTGTACTTCTTAGTAGTAGCAGACCTAATCACCCTCCACATTTATCCTGACGTGGAAAACCGACACCACGGATTTCTCCCGTGATGCTCACCTCTTATGAAATCATTCTTTTATCTTGAATTAATATACTTCAAAATATTTCTCAACTTCTCAAACTGCTTTAAAAATATTTAGATAAAATATTTACCCCCAAAAGCACTTAGTTTCACGAATGATCTCAGAATCACATGCATAAAAGTCATACTTCACACTTAAAAATCACGTATCACATAATACATATATAATACGAGGAAACGATTTTTGGATTGGCAGAGAAACTTACCTCAAACTCCAAGTACTCCTAATTAAGACTCTTATTTTGCTCCTCACTCAAATCACCTTCTATTATCAACATTTAAAAATCATTATCCATTCAAATTATAAATATTTACTCTACCCTTTATTAGTCCGTAGTTATCAATAACAAATGATATATTGACTTAATTCATTAATTAATTAATTTATATTTATATAATAAATTAGTCAAATTTTATTTTATTAGTCAGCCCCCAGTATTATAATCCATTTATAGAATTCCAAATTAACCATCCAATTGTTGTTTTTATTTTATTATTACTATTATGATTATTAGCTCAAACGGCCCAGCATATAGTTTTTAAGGATACCGGTCCAATTAATAAAATCTCAGCAGCCCAGAAGAGTTAAACAAAACAATGAAAATGGTAATACGGAGTAAGAATTACGTACGATACAGTAGCCGTCATTTTCTTCTCCGTCCTGCAGCCCGTAGCGTGGACCAACGATGAAGGAGGATTAGCAACGGCGACCTCCCCAATCCAGGCGGTATTCCTTCAGATAGCAGCAGTGCCACGACAGCACTGTTCGGCGGCAGCAGCTTGATCCGGCAACGATGATTTAGCTCTGGTGTAGACGAGGACAGCGGCGACCACTTCTACTTCTACGGCGGCGCTGTGGTTTCCCCCGTTCCTACCTTCCCACACGTAACTCCCTCATTCCCTCACCCCTTTTCTTAATTATATGATGTTCGTTTTCTGCCAAGCTTTTGATCACAACACCCTCAGGTCTCACGTAGAACAGCCGGACAATGGTTATATATGCCCATGTTACGTTACACGTCCGTTGAGTTCGGGTTATGGTTATAATTGCTCTTTATTATCTTAATAATGATGGATCAATGATGGTCCGTTACTACGTATATTACTAATACTTTATTACGTAGTATTGTTAATATTTTTATTACTAACGTATTATGTGTGCCTGATTCTAGTATGTATGCATGCGTCGGTGTATATGTATGTAATCATGGTGTACTAGTATATGTCTTAATTATAACGTATGAGTATTTTGTACTTCATATATATGTATAAAGTTCGTAACGTAGTATATTAGTATATGCATGCATGTGTTATGCATGAAACACGTAGTAAGTGTATACTGGATATGTGCATAGCATGTATGTGATGTATCATGTAGAGCTTATGCCTCATGTATGTATGTAATACATGTATATATCATGTATGATATGTATGTAGTACTATATGTATATGTCCGGACTTTGAGTACTACGTAGCTCTTAGAATTACTTTAATAATAATTCTTTATACTTTTCTTGAATAGTAACCGAAATGTATTTTTAACTTTCAAATCTTAAATTGTACACCACTTTTTAGACTGGGACTTACAAAGAGTACTTTTAAAATATCATTTGACGTTTTTCAGTTTTCCTCAAGTTATTTAAAATATTCAATAATTTCATTTTAATTATATCTGATTTACTTTTATTTTATTTAATTATTATACTTCTACTTTAAATTTTAGGGTGTTACAGATGACCCTTCGGCTGATCCCCGGCATGTCCTCCGCCCCCCATGCAAAAACAATGGAGTAGGCGCGGAGGGCATCCGTGATGCCGGTCTTCAAATCTTCAGGGAGTTTGGCTCCAATCTTCACGACTCTCTCCGGCTTGGCCGGATCGAGCGCAAAGTCTTCTGCCTCCTCGGCTGGTTCTGCCCTCGGCTTCTTCTCTTCCTCCTCCACAGTTCCGGTGATGGTGTCAACACGGAACTCGATTTTACTAACCATCTTTGTTACTTGGAGGTAGCAGGCGTGGGCAAGTTTTTGATTCCCCCTCGAGTACCCGATGCCTCCTTCGGCCGGGAACTTGAGGCACATGTGCCTCATGGATATGATGGCCTCCAGGTCCTCGAGGGTTGGTCGGCCGAGGATGATGTTGTGGGCGCAGTCGATGTTGACGACGACGAACTCCACTTCGAGCTTGGCTCTATGGAGCCCATCGCCGAAGAGTACCGGGAGAGTTATGACCCCCTCGGAATCAATGGTGTTGGTGTATAGCATATAATGGGCACACAACTATTTTTTTTTACCCAAGGAAGTAGGTGTCGAACCACAGAGAAGCGGGAAATAAAATAATTAAGCACAAACTAAGGATTAAAGTTGGGAATGCGTTTCTTTTGATTTTTGTTTACTTGGAAAAGTAATTAAATAAAAGTGATTGAGAGAAGAGACTTTTATCAACACAAAGTTCAACCAATAGCAAGTAGGGGTAGAAATTGGCAACTAATTGTTCAATGCTCATTTGTAAGACATAATTGCTAATTTTATTCTTAGATAGATTGTGAGAAGTTGTAGATAAATATTTTAGGACCCAACACAAGTCACCTAAAATAAGTAACTAGTCAACATTTCCCAGTGATGGCCAAAACGAGACTAGTTGTTTAAGTGCAACGACAACCTTAATTATTAACTATATTATTTACCCAACCCCGTGGTGTAAATAATATAATTAAATAATTAAATTCTCCCGTAAAACTTCAATCTGGGACAAGGTAAAAGAAGTTTAATGGTGTGTTCAGAAAATGTTCATTTGTGTATTTAACAAACAATATGTTTATGACTGAGTACTCATAATATATATCATAAACACAACATAATTAAGTTTCTGGACACAACAATCTAAATAGAATAAACTTAACAATTAAAATCAATACAAATTAAAACATTATAAGAACAATTAATTAACCAATTTCTAGCCCCAAATTTATTTAGCTATACATGTTGGGAAACATAGAAATAGATGAATCCATGATTAAAGTACAAGATTTAATGAGATAAGGAAGATCAAACTTGTGATTGATGACAATCCTTGGAGCTTTGATGCTAATCTTGACTTAATCTTGGATGAGAAAGTGATTAGTTATGGTTGAAGATGGGTTGATGATTTGGGGTTGAGAAATGAAGAGAGAAGGAGGAGGAAATGTTTCTGGGATGTTTAGAGAGAGGTTGGTCCGAGCTTATCTGTGGAGGAAGATGAATTAAGGCAATATAATGATAAGGTGATTAATCATTAATTGCTGGGATTTACGGAACAGATGAGTTTATGTACAACAAAGCGCAGTAAAGTTTCAACAGTGGCAGGTAGCTCAACGGATAAGCACTTCAGGGGAAAACTCGGAGATCTTGGGATCGATTCTCGGCTTCAACATTTTGTTCTTTTCTTTGCCGCGTTCAGAAGGAATATAACAATTGCTAGCTGAATATGTACAATATTGATCTCTTAGCACACTGGTTGTAGTAGGCGTTCTTCTACCCTTTCTCCAGGGATCGAATCCCAACTCCATAATTTTTATTTTTTGCTTCTTTTCTTCAATTTACTCCTTATTTTCTTCAATTTTCTCCATGGAACTTTTATTTTCTTCTTTTGTTCACTCTAATGTATCCAAATAGCATCAAAAGTACCTGAAAATACAAAATACCCGTGTAGGGACTGCACAAGTACAAACTAACGACAAATTATAAAAATATGTACAAAAGTAGAATTTTAATAACTAAAATTAATAACAAACTAAGCCTAAAAAGTGTGTAAAATACAAGTACATCAAATCCCCCACACTTAGGCTTTTGCTTGTCCTCAAGTAAAACAAACAACAAACACAAAAATATACACAATTTGATAAGATTTACAAACATAACTAAATAAATCACATATCCACCTCTAATGTCCACTAAACGGTCCAATACCCTGAAATGTCACAAAATAACGCATTGAGAGTAAACCGAGTATTATTGCCTATCACTAAGATTTTCAAATCAAACTTTTAACACAAACACCTATAGATCTAAATTAGTTCGGGTTATGCAGAACAAGTTTCTCCAATCCGCTAAATTCAAAAAATGACACAAATAGATCAATTAGGACTTTTTTCGGTGAGTGGCTAGATTAATGAGTGTGGCTAGTTGGAAGGAAAGTTTGGTGTAAGAATATACATAGAGAGTTAGATTGTACTAATAGTGAGCGGATCATCACAAGAATTTACAACAACTTGGAGCATACAAAACAATGAGAAATATAAACATGAAAAGTAAAAAAAAAATGGGGTTTTACAAAAGAAATTACAACAAGAATTTAATGTGCCTCTTTGTTTTTTTTTGTCTTTTTTTTCAATTTTCCATCTCTTTTTTTTTTCTTTTTTTCTTTTTTTTTTGATTTTTTTTTTCAAAGAGGTCACACACTGAACATTACAATGAAAAACTAACCCCAAAATTTACAAACAAATATGTACTTCACTCATATGACACTTAATAGTAGCTCCATTTATTTACTCTCAAGTAACAAGACAATCTACTCTAGGATTAGAAAAGATTAACTTTGAATAGGGCTTCAGAAGGTTATGTATTTACAGGGTTACAAATAAAAAAGAATTAGTAACAAGTGAAGTAAGATATTTTACACTTGTACACTGAAAAGGCTCGAACGGGATTACTATGGAAAGTGTTATTTATTTACAAAGGGATAGTGTTTGGCTTCATGGGTAAACAAAGATGGCCTAAATCATTTCTAAATGTGTCAAGTTCAAATAAAATTTCAAGGAGAATAAATGTATGAACATCTTAATCTGCATAAACTTTCACTAATTCAACTATTAACCAATAAATTGGAAAAATAAAATCTAAGGTGTTTAATGTTAAAGTGTTAAAAAGAATCAAGTTCAAAGCTAATACTAAGTTACTCTCAAAAAATTATAGTGACACTTCTCAAACTCAAACCACATTTCGTCAAAAGAGGTGAATGAATAGTTTTAAAAAGTTATGGAAGTAACTAGTAACAAAAAGTGTAAACTAATGTGTTGTTTGTCTATTGTTGTATTTTGGACAAGACTGGTCTTTACTTTTCTAAACAAACACACAAAATAAAAATAAAAGAAAATAAAATCACACAAACAAGCAAGGAAAAAGAAAAAATATTCACACAAGAAATTAGGGTCGAACTACCCACTTCCCCACACTTAAAATTTGCACTGTCCTCAGTGGAAAATAAATTAAAGGAGTGTAAAGAAAACTTCCTTGAATTGCGGACGGATGATGTTGAGATGTCTTTTCGAGCGGATGTGGCCCCTTTAGAGTCCAAAAACAAAAACCTAGACATTTTTTTTTTTTGCTTTTTTTTTGTTTTTTGTTTTTTTTTTTTGAAATTTACAAACTTGGGTTGCCTCCCAAGAAGCGCTCGTTTAAGGTCATTAGCTTGACCCATGCCTCTTCATTCATATTTCGGATCAGTGAGGCAATACGCAGAAGTTGCCTCTTGTCTCTCACCATCATGGTATAGTTTCAACCGTTGTCCATTTACCATGAGTTTTTGGCCGCTTTTGTTTAACAACTGGACTGCTCCGGATGGAAATGCTTCAAGTACTTCAAATGGACCCAACCATCGGGTCTTTAGCTTTCCGGGAAAGAATTTGTAACGTGAGTTAAATAGAAGAACTTTATCTCCCCGTTCAAATTTTCTTCGGCTGATCACTCGGTCATGCAAAACTTTTGTTCTCTCCTTGTAGAGTTTTGAGCTATCATAAGCTGCAAGTCTGAATTCTTCAAGTTCATTTAGCTGCAACAGTCGTTTCTCACCCGCCAATGCAAGATCCATGTTGAGTGTCTTGATTGCCAAATATGCTTTGTGTTCAACCTCAACAGGAAGGTGACATGCTTTCCCATACACCAATTTGAATGGTGAGGTGCCGATGGGATTTTTGTAAGCAGTGCGATATGCCCATAGTGCATCATCAAGCTTTTCGGCCCAATCCTTTCGGGAAGGATTAACAACTTTCTCGAGAATTGTTTTGATTTCTCGGTTTGAAAGTTCCACTTGGCCATTTGTTTGCGGGTGGTATGGAGTTGAGAGTCGGTGGTGAATCCCATATTTGGAAAGGACACGTTCCAATGCTTTGTTACAAAAATGAGTACCATTGTCGGTGATGAAAGATCGTGGAACTCCGAATCGGGAGAAAATATTTTTCTGAATGAATTGGATCACCACTTTGGCATCATTTGTCTGTGTGGCAGCTGCTTCTACCCATTTAGAAACATAATCAACAGCTACAAGGATGAACTCTTTCCCATTTGATTTTGGAAATGGCCCCATAAAATCGAGCCCCCACACGTCAAACAATTCGACTTCAAGTATGCCATGTTGAGGCATTTCATTCTTTCTTCCAATATTACCGGTACGTTGGCAACGATCACAGTTTTTCACAAATTTGCTTGCATCTTTGAAAATAGTGGGCCAAAAGAAACCTGATTGTAAAATCTTTGCAGCAGTACGAGAGCTTCCATGATGTCCCCCATATGGTGAGGAATGACAATGGTGCAAGACATTTGAAACTTCATCTTCGGGCAAACACCGTCGAATGACTCCATCGGCACACCTTCTATAGAGAAAAGGTTCTGCCCAATGATAGTAGCGGGAGTCATATTTTAACTTCTTCTTTTCAGTATGTGTAGCACCATGTGGAATTACCCCATGAGAAAGGTAATTTGCAATATCGGCAAACCATGGATCAAAATTTTGAGCAGTCATAAGTTGTTCCCCAATGAAATAATCATTGATTGGCATCTTGGTATCACAAGGAATCTCAAGTCGAGATAAATGATCGGCAACAACATTTTCAGATCCTTTTCTATCACGGATTTCCATGTCAAACTCTTGTAGTAACAAGATCCACCGCAACAACCTCGGTTTTGCATCTTTTTTGTTGATGAGGTATTTGATAGCCGCATGGTCGGTATAGACAATAATCTTGCTACCGATAAGGTAAGATCGGAATTTTTCAATGGCAAAAATTATGGCAAGGAACTCTTTTTCAGTTGTGGCATAATTTGATTGGGCATCATCAAGAGTATGACTTGCATAATAAATGGCATATACTTCTTTGCCTTTGCGTTGACCCAGAATGGCTCCCACGGCATAATCGCTTGCATCACACATGAGTTCAAAAGGAAGACTCCAATCAGGTGGCCTAATAATTGGTGCAGTAGTTAAGGCCAACTTGAGTTTTGAAAATGCGGCGCAGCAAGATTCATCAAAATTAAACTCCACATCTTTTGAGAGAAGATTGGTTAAAGGCTTTGATATTTTTGAAAAATCCTTGATAAACCGTCGATAAAATCCCGCATGGCCAAGAAAACTACGAATCCCCTTGATGGAAGAAGGGGGTGGCAATTTCTCAATTACTTCTATCTTTGCCGGGTCTACTTCAATGCCCTTTTCAGAAATTTTGTGCCCAAGCACAATGCCTTCGGTTGCCATGAAATGACATTTTTCCCAGTTGAGGACAAGATTTGCTTCTTCACATTTGCTTAGCACTTTATCAAGATGTTCAAGACAATCATCAAATGAAATCCCATAAACCGATAAATCATCCATAAAAACTTCCATAATTTCCTCGACAAGATCCGAGAAAATAGTTAGCATACATCTTTGAAAGGTTCCTGGTGCATTACATAATCCAAACGGCATTCTGCGATATGCAAAAGTACCATAAGGACATGTAAATGTCGTCATTTCTTGATCATCCGGATGAATTGGGATTTGGAAAAATCCAGAGAATCCGTCAAGAAAACAGAAATATTTGTGCTTAGCCATCCTCTCCAGCAATTGATCAATAAAGGGAAGTGGAAAATGATCTTTCCGAGTAGCCTTGTTTAGCTTGCGGTAATCAATGCACATGCGCCATCCAGTGACTATTCGTGTAGGAATCAGCTCGTTTTTGTCATTCTTTACAACAGTAATTCCTCCTTTCTTTGGCACCACATGGATAGGACTTACCCATTTACTGTCCGAAATGGGGAAAATGATACCCGAACTCAATAGTTTAAGAATTTCTTTTTTAACAACATCTTTCATGTTCGGGTTGAGGCGTCTTTGGTGCTCAATGCTCGGCTTGTGATCATCCTCCAAGTAAATGCGGTGCATGCAATAAGATGCCTTTATGCCAACAATATCATCAATGGTGTAGCCAATAACTCTGCGATGGCTTCGTAAGACTTGCAATATTCTTTCCACTTGTTGAAGATCTAAATCAGCATTCACAATGACAGGATAAGTGGAATTCGGGCCAAGAAAAGCATATTTTAAAGTAGATGGAAGTGGTTTGAGTTCTACTTCAGGTGCTTTTCCTTTGACATTCAAGGATTGATCTTCAAGATTAAGCACTTCAAATTTAAGTGCTTTAGGCATCGGTAAAGATATGCTTTGCAACATTTCGAGACATAAATTCACCATTTCATTGGCTTGCTCATCTGCAATAGATTCTCGTATAGTGTACTCCATGGGATCTTTAGAAAGCCAATAAGACTTATCAAATGTCTTTATGATACAAGAGTCTATAACATCAGCATAGTAACCATCAAGGACACAAGGTGTATCCTTACTCAGCTCTTGTACATTGAATTCGATCTTATCATCCCCAATCTCAAGGATAAGGGTACCCTTTTTTACGTTGATAATTGCTCCTGCCGTAGCTAGAAAGGGTCTCCCGAGAATAACAGGAACTCGAGCATCTTCCTCCATATCCAAGACAACAAAGTCTCCCGGGATATAATACTTGTCAATTTTGACAGGAACATCTTCAAGAATGCCGATAGGATATTTGACAGATCGATCAGCCAATTGTAACGCCATTGTTGTTGGTTTGGGATCCCCCAAGTGTAGCTTTTGACATAGTGAATAGGGAATTAAGCTAACACTTGCACCAAGATCACAAAGAGCTTTGTTAACTTTAGATCCACCAATGATACATGGAATTGAGAAGCTTCCAGGATCACGTAACTTGGGTGTAATTTTGTTTTGGATTATGGCACTACATTCTTGGCTCATTGCAACAGTGGCTGGATTCTCCTTCTTCTTTGTGAGAATATCTTTGAGAAATTTAGCATATGAAGGAATTTCTGTAATGGCATCAAGCAATGGAATTGAGATATCCAACTGTTTGATAACATTCAAAAATTTAGTTCTCCGCTCCTCCATATTAGCTTTCTTCAATCTGTTCGGATAAGGAATTGGGGGAATATATTTCCTTACCGAACTGTTTTTTTCTTTCTTCGACCCTTCACGATCATCAGATGATTTCGTCATGGTACCGACATCAAGTTCATTGTTGTTGTTTCCACCTTTCTGTTGTTGCTCGGTCCTTTCCTCCAACACTTCATGTTCTTGTTCATCACTAGAACGGGGCGAGGATTGATGTTGTTTCCCACTCCGAGTAGTGACGACATTGATTTGCTCCCTAGGGTTTTCAGGGCAAGCAGGAAGCTTACCTGTCACCTTAGTTGATGATGTGGATGCTTGATTAGCAATTTGATTCTCAAGCATCTTGTTGTGAGCTCGAAGTTGACCAAGTTCTTCGGTGATTTGTTTCAGGGTTTCAGCTTGAGATAATTGGGACTTGAGAAGTTGGTCAACAATGTTTTCTAGGACAGGAGTTTGGGTTGTTTCAGGAGTGGGGAGAAGTGGTTTTTGCTGTTGACTTGAAGGGTATGGAAGATTTTGAGTGGGTTTATAGTGTTGTTGGTTCACAATACCTTGGCCACCTCTGAATTGCTGTTGTTGGTTTTTGAAACCGGGTGGTGCACTCCGGTAAGATGGTTGTGGATTAGCAGCTCCATTTTGATTGCTCCAGGAAAAACCGGGATGGTTTCTTCCTTGAGGATTGAAATTACCAAATTGATTTTGTTGGGGTTGCCTGTTGTAGTTGACATAGTCAACTTGTTCCATTGCTTCCCATGGACAAGTAGACTGATTGTGTTGTCCACCGCAAGATTCACACATAAGAACGAGGATGGGAGCTGGAGTTGATGTAGAGTTTTGCACAAGAGAGACTTGTGCCATCTTTTGGATAAGATTCATCATGCTATCGACCTTTGTGGTTATGGCCGACATTTGATCAACTTCATACATGCCTCCGATTTTTGGTGGAGCAGATGATCGCTCAGAATACCATGTTGATCCATTTGATGAAATACGCTCCATCAATTCTTCTGCCTCTTCAAGTTCCAGGCACATGAATGATCCATTTGCTGACGCGTCCACGAGTATCCGAGAATTTTCATGTAGGCCTTCATAGAAAGCCGTCATCAAGTGCCAGTTTTGGATGTTGTGATGTGGACACTGTCGCTGAAGATCTTTGAATCTTTCCCAAGCCTCGTAGAGGGGCTCATTGGGATTTTGCTTGAAATTTTGAATCATTCTTCGGATTTTCGCCGTTTTAGATGGCGGGAAAAATCTTTTGAGAAATTCACCATGAAGTTGATCCCAAGTGGAGAAGTGATTATCCGGAAAAGAGTCAAGCCAACTCTGAGCTCGATCCCGTAGAGAGAATGGGAACAGGCGTAGTCTGACAGCATCAGTTGGCACACCATTGATTTTGAAGGTGTTGCAAGCTCGAAGGAACTTTGTGATGTGATTATTTGGATCCTCCGTTGGCGCTCCGCCAAATTGAGTATTTGAAACCATATGAATGATAGCAGGCTTGATTTCAAAGTGATTCGTGTTAACCTCTGGTGGAATAACACTGTCATGCTCATCCACGGGAGGCGTAACATAATCATACAGCGGTTTTCTGGTCCTCATAACCTGATCCACGATTTGTTGATCGGGTACCTGCTCATTAACAACAATATCGTTTGACATTTTTTTTATTTTTTTCTGTTCACGTATGTTCTTTTCAATGTCAGAGAAGAATAACAATTCACAATTCGCACCACGTGAACGTGTGAGCATAAGCAGAAGGGAATTGGGATTGGGGAAAGAGAGAGAGAGAGAGAGAGAGAGAGAGAGAGAGAGAGATGAAAAGAAAAAATAAATGCAGAATTAATTAATTAATTAAGGTTCGCACGTAGTCAATTGGTATAAACCGAATAAGACTAGTGAGCCCTTAAAGCAGTATGAATATATACAGTAATTCACCAGGATGCGGCTAGGCCGACAGATATGGTGATTTGAGAGAAGAAAGAAAAAAAAAATAGCTACAGTAATAAATACAGTCTCCACCAAGATGCAGCTATGCCGACAGTCTGGGGATTATTAAGAGAAAAAAAATAAAAATAAAAAGTGCACTCCACCAACAAGTGGACACGGCCTACAAGCTTGGGGATGCAAAATTTTAAAAAAAATGCTGAAATTAAAGTGCGGAAATTAAATTGCGATAATATAAGTGCACAAATTAAATTGCGATAATTAAAGTGCAGAAATTAAAAAGTTGGGGTTTGAACCACCATAAAAAGAAAAATAAACGGTCCGACCATATAGGCGGAGTATCCTTTGAATTATAATGTACAAGTAAGCGGTCCGACCATATAGGCGGAGTATCCTTTTAATTAAAATGTAAAAATATGTTCAATGGTCTGAATGTCCAGATATGTTCGGTCAACAAGTCCAACTCCAATGCTCAGGTAAGATGATTAATCACAGTCCATTTTTTATTATTATTATTATTTTTTTGATTTTTTTTTTGAACTTTAATTAATCACTTTTTTTTAACCTGCAAAGGTAAAAAGATAACAACAGAATAATATACACACAATTTACAATAACTAAAATCGAAAGTTTATGCTCTCAATTTTTTTTTTCAAAACCGCTTCCCCGGCAACGGCGCCAAGTTGGTGTGTAGCATATAATGGGCACACAACTATTTTTTTTTACCCAAGGAAGTAGGGTGTCGAACCACAGAGAAGCGGGAAATAAAATAATTAAGCACAAACTAAGGATTAAAGTTGGGAATGCGTTTCTTTTGATTTTTGTTTACTTGGAAAAGTAATTAAATAAAAGTGATTGGGAGAAGAGACTTTTATCAACACAAAGTTCAACCAATAGCAAGTAGGGGTAGAAATTGGCAACTAATTGTTCAATGCTCATTTGTAAGACATAATTGCTAATTTTATTCTTAGATAGATTGTGAGAAGTTGTAGATAAATATTTTAGGACCCAACACAAGTCACCTAAAATAAGTAACTAGTCAACATTTCCCAGTGATGGCCAAAACGAGACTAGTTGTTTAAGTGCAACGACAACCTTAATTATTAACTATATTATTTACCCAACCCCGTGGTGTAAATAATATAATTAAATAATTAAATTCTCCCGTAAAACTTCAATCCGGGACAAGGTAAAAGAAGTTTAACGGTGTGTTCAGAAAGTGTTCATTTGTGTATTTAACAAACAATATGTTTATGACTGAGTACTCATGATATATATCATAAACACAACATAATTAAGTTTCTGGACACAACAATCTAAATAGAATAAACTTAACAATTAAAATCAATACAAATTAAAACATTATAAGAACAATTAATTAACCAATTTCTAGCCCCAAATTTATTTAGCTATACATGTTGGGAAACATAGAAATAGAT